TGAGGTAAATACGCATTCCAGCCTGTGCAACAAGTCAGCAGAAAATTCAAGTCACAGTCGGAAGGAAGCTTTGCGACCAAGGAGGGAAAAGTCAGACAGAAAAAAATAAAGAAAGGATGAGGCTTGGTATGTGACACAGGAGCATATGTGCCATTGTGTGTGCTCTTGCACACAAGACATTGAAGCCAGACGGATGCAAAACTCTCAGGCCCCGAGGGCAGGACGGCGGGCCGAGGGTACCAACGGCGCGTCCTGCAGAGACGAGGGTGCATTCCGGTGCAGCGGACTTAGCTGTCAGCAAAGCAGAGGCTTAAAATGAGCACGCAGTCACTCGAAGACATGCACCGATAACAGAGAGGCAGTGATCATGGGGTGGGTTTAAGAGCTTCAAATTGCCCAAAATGAAAAATGTGACCTCTGCAGGGGATTGAGAGATGGAAAGACGGGGAACCTTGGGGCTGCCATTTCTAGTCCAGTGGAGTGATCTAAATCTGGGGGTGGATGGAAGCAAAGTCTCATGGGTAATGACCCTAAAAGCCCCCATCAGAAAGAGGACACCCACAGGTTTTTCATGTTGGTAACAGGGGACCTGGTGTGATAAGGAGAGATAATGCTGAAGATTAAAAGCAAGTGATGGGATTTTTTTTTCTTTTTTATCACTGTTTCGAGCCCTGTTGGAACAGAGGTGTAGCGCTCAGTGCAGTCTGGAATGTTCCAAGCTTTTGTCCTATTTGAAGCCTTTCTTTGGGTTGATGAAAAGGCAGACTTATATTCTACACACATGTATATCTGCACATGGTTCCAGCCAAACAGCATTTACAAAAGATTTCCTAAATTAGTTTTTTTTTTTTGTTTGCTTGTTTGTTTTATCAGATATTTGTTCAATAATAATCTGCTGTTTATAGCCCAGGTGCCGACTCTTGCCTCATTATCAGCAGGTAGTTAAAGGTTGAAAATATCGCAGTAAAGATAATTGATGGCGGTTTGATTCATTACCAGATTAAATTGGTTTCTCAGTTGTTGATATTCCCTTTACACAGACACATGTAATTGATACATCACCAGTTTTAGATTAATTAGAAACTGGACTGAAATAGGTAGCAAATTAATCTGGAACTCGGTGAAAGGGTAGCCTGGAGGCACAAAGATGAAAGATCCTTTTCTGTTTTTAAGGTCTTTATTTTCATCTCCTTTTTTATTCTGGTTAAATAATGTGGCAAATGTAAAGATTTGGGAAAACTGAACTAACAGCAAGGCCTTTTTTTTAACTTAACATCCCTCAATTTAACATCTTTTCTAATTAAACCAAGTTTGTATATTATTCGAATCTGTGGAAATACATGTTTGAAAATAGAAAACTCAGTTTAGTCATTGCTATAATTCTTATATTGCTTTTGCCAGCAGTCATTCAAGAAAACCAATAACATTTAGTGCATTACATGTCACTATTGTGTTAGTACACTGAATTTAAATAATTTGTAGAAAAAAAGTAAAAGTTCCAGCATTGCATTTCTGGGAATCTGAACCTGTAACATTTTTAGAGAGAGCTAGGAAAACCCACTGCCACGAGGCTGGAAATTAAAATATATGCTGCAAATAGGCATCACCTTAATGAAATTTGAATAAACGCAACAAAGTTGCAGAAATGACTTTATAATATTTGCCTCATTCTTTTGATATGTGAAACTAGTGAACATTTACTCACCTCTGAATGTCAAATGCTTGGACTTCTTCATACAGAAATTCAGCCAAAAGACTACATTTGTTTATGCATTTCACTGCAGAACGATCAGCAGTGAAATGTCTCAGTACAGAGGATTTGACTCTCAGCACTGCAGAGAGAGGAGGCAGGTTGGTGACTTGATTTTTGCCAGAGGGAATATGCAAGAGAATAAATCAGTCTCGCTAATCTGCGGTTCTGGAGAGGAAGCTGGAAAGCTGCAGTAACGTCAGAGGAGGAGGATGTTGGGGAACTGAGAAAGATAGTTTGATCATGTGGAGGAAGGAAGTCCTGATGGAGTATATCCACAACTTGGTTAGTCAAATTTCATTATTTGCTTAGATCCCCAATCCAGTGGTTAGAAGTCAGGTAATGGTCATACATAGAGAGGGGAATGTCAGAATACCTAGTAAAACAGAGCAGCAGGGCGGGTCGTGGTCCAGCCATCAGAAAGGTCGCAGAGATCTGTTATGGACGAGGCAAAAATTGTATGGAGACAACAAGGGCAAGGACACAACGCTGGGTAACTACTGGCTCAAGAAAGTCAATAAGGAGGCAGAAACTGGGGAGAGCTCAAGAACTGCAGAAAACAGGTGAGAAAGGCAGACAGTTGGGCTAGGCACAGGTGGCTGAATGAAGCTGATGAGCAGAGATTTAACTGGGCAGGTGGAGCAGAGCAACACGGAAGCATAAAAGCAAGACGAGAATAACATGGAGAAACACGGAATATTATCGTTGCAGTTGATTTGACCGCTTGGCTCGCTGATAGATGATGTAGAAAACAATGACCTTTCCTCCCTATATGGTCAGGTGGTCGTTAGGCAAGATGAGGAACAAAACGCAAGAATGATGTCTCTGCTTGCTCTCTCCTGGCTCAGTAGCCACACACCCATTATGCATCCAATATCTGCATTATAAACAGATCGTAAGTGACACACATTTCTTTATAGATGTGACAGGATTTCATGTTTCACCAAATGCACCTAATTACTTTCAGTCTGACCCATATAAAACACATTTTTAGATGAGCCAATGTGCAGAGCAAGAAAAGAAAATGCACGACAGCAGCTTGTTATTTAGGGCAACTTGCAAGTTGCGTAAATTTTAAAAACAAGACTTGTTGTTTTCTAAGAAACAAAAAAAGGTAATAAAACTTAATCCAAACTGACTAGTCAGGCTTTAGTTTGAGGTTGTGTTGGCTTTGACCACCATGTACACAGAAGAATCCTCAAGCAGGAATATTCACAATGTGTGTGTGCAAGACTGTCCTCGATGCTACTTTAAAACATGTAGTTAATTTTATCTCCGTTTGATTATTACAGTATATTACTTCTACTTAAGAAAAAACAAAAACTCACAAATCAGGATTTTAGCCCATACAAGCCTACCACAGCATTCTTATCTCATAGAAGCTTGACAGTGTTGTTGGGCTTTACGTCACTCTTAGTGATATAAAATGGCAAATAGCACCTGGACACATTCCAGTTTGCATTGTTTTTTTTTTTTTTTTTTACTCATTTTGGAAAGGCAGGCGCAAGTGTCATACTGATCACAGCATGCTTTCGGCTGAATACTGATGCGCTGCCGCAGTAACGACGTGTGTCAAAGGTGAAAAGCGGCAAGGTGAAAAGAGGATGACTCACAGGCAAGTACCCAGCTAACAGCCAAGCTGAATAATTTGTGCTCAGTCTACATTTTCATAATGTTCTTTAAAAAAAAAAAAAGAAAAAATACATAGCCAAGTCGGACAGACGGGGCCAATTTTGTATAAAATGACAGTGCAGCCAAGTGATGCTTGAATGCCCATCCAAACTTTTCAAAAGGCTGCTTGAAAGTTGCCTTGGATGCGACTTCAATTGTTAGACCCTGCTGTAGAGTTATATTTAGCATTATGTTTTAGTGGCTATACCTGTTTAGAATTTATGTAACAGGATTGACTCCTCCACCGATGTGACGCTCGTGGGTGTCGCTCCGCAACGTTATCAAGGAAGACTCGTTATTTATCGGGAAACTGATTAAAGCATCGAGGCAGCTTTCTGCAAAGTCGCTGCAAATTATCATATATTCTGTGCTGACTTTCAAAACAAAACAATCTGTCTTATAATAACACAATTTATATGGAGATTATTTCTAATCTTATCAGTGCAATTAGTCCGTAAAAAATAAAAAAGAAGAAAACAAGGAGAGGCGCCATCAAGGTGGGGATAGAGTGAGATAATGACTAAATCTGGCAGGTTGTTTAGCTCTCTCTCCCAAACCGAAGAAACTTCCTGAAGAACTGGAACTGTGTGTGCGTGTGTGTGTGTGTGTGTGTGTGTGTGTGTTTGTGTGTGTGCATATACACAATCACATGACAATCCACCCACATGCACACAAACTAACCCACAGGAAAGTAGAAAAAGGCCTCAAAGCACCTGCCAAAGCATAGAACATGGAAAATGTGACTAATTACATTACTTTCCATGCCAGTAAAAGAGAAAATACCAAAGAAGAGATATGCATATTCATATCAGGGCACAGTGGGATTGACTTGGCTGCCGAAAATCATCCAGAAAGAGCTTGTGAAGTGAGGAAAGAGGCAGCTTTTGACACAAATTAACAATTATTAGACGGAAAATCAGCGAGACAGGAGCGGACCACAGACCATTTCTGGAACGCGGCGTGAGCTTCACACACCAGGCTACCTCCTGGTTTCTGAGAGATGTCGATCTGCAAACACATCAGCTTCTGATGTGGCGCAATACACTGTGCAGCCATAGATCTTTGCACTATAATTAGCATCACATGTTTTAATACAGTTTAAACCACGAAAGCAGCAGCGAAAATTTAACACATTTTCAAGCTGGTAAATTAAATTGATTCCAACTTTGCTTCCCACAGGTTAAGCATGTAATTGTTTCAATACCCTGCAAAGGCTACTAAAGCTACTGGGTTAAAACGACATGCAGATGAAATTGCAATTCTTGCTTTCCATTTGATTCTTAAAAAAAAAAAAATTGGTTAAATATTCTGGAGCAGTTCTTCAAAATGTTTTGCTAGATCCATCCATTTAAGACATTTTTTTAAAATAAAATCTGACATGATGAATCATGGGAGTCAAAACGCCAAATGCTTTCAGCTCCCTGCTGCGGACAGGATCATAGCCTATAATACCTAAAAAAAAAAAAAAAAGCTGAAATGAAAGGGCTATGTTGTGGATGTTCTTTTTCATGCTGAAATTGCAGCTTTTGCACTCTTTCGCACACATTTGTTTTTTTTTTAACCTCTGACTTCATGTCAGGCTTGCAGGATGTCCTGCCAGAGTTCCTCCGTGGGCGTTTTGTGGAGGCGGCCCTCAGCTACGTGGCCTGTAACTCGGAGGGTGAGCTGCTGTGCCGCAACAACGACTGCTGGTGCCGGTGCTCTCCCAGATTCCCAGAGTGCAACTGTCCGTTCGCCGACATCAAAGTCATGGAGGAGAACCTGGAGAAGAACAAAGCGTCCTGGAACAACTTCAATCAGGAGTTCATGGAATCAGGTATGTGCAGGTGTCGTTTTCAGGCCGCATGTTAGGCAGACTTTGAAGACGGACAGAAAATGACATTGAATGGTGATTTGATTTGGTGTCAGAAACTGTTTAAAACAAACAGTATTTCACATTATTATGTTGAAAAGCCAGTTTCTGTCTCTGTAAATTGGAACATAATTAAACTTTGTGAAGATGCTAACCAAAGCACATCAATATCTTTAGTCATTTGGCGTGTTACGGTATTCTGGTGTGGCAGTATGTTAGTCGTTAATAAAAAGCAGTTTGTCTTGTTGCCTGACAACAATTTGTTACATTAATATTGGGAATTCCTGCATTACTGTGTTGCTCTGCTTGTGCAGCTGCATTTTGAGCACTTGGTTCTTGGTTCTGTTGGACCTTAGTCCAGCTTTCGACACTGTTGACCACGACATGTTACTGAATCGAATGGAGAGTTGGGTCGGACTCTCCGGTCCACTGCTCCACTGGTTTGAATCTTACATAAAGAACAGGGATTTCTTTGTTTCAATCGGAAACTTCTCATCAGAGAGGTCAAAGGTCACATGTGGGGTACCCCAAGGTTCAATCCTAGGACCCCTTCTTTTCAATATTTATATGCTCCCACTGGCTCAGGTTATAACAGGAAATAAGATCAGCTACCATAACTACGCGGATGATACACAGCTCTACATCACAATGTCACCAGGTGACTCTGAACCCATCCAATCACTGAATAGATGCTTAGAACAGATAAATATGTGGATGTGTCAAAACTTTCTCCAGCTGAACAGAAACAAAACTGAAGTTATTATCTTTGGACCTAAAGAGCAGCGAACTAGAATCAATGCTCAGCTTCAGTTATTACAACTGAAAACCAGCGATCAGCCCGAAACCTGGGAGTAGTGATGACCTCTGACCTGAACCTTCAGAGCCACATTAAGACAGTCACAAAGTCGGCCTTCTATCACCTGAAGAACATCTCCAGGATTAGAGGACTACTGTCTCAGCGCGATCTAGAGAAACTCATCCATGCGTTTATCTTCATCCGCATTGATTACTGCAACAGCGTCTTCACAGGTCTGACTAATAAATCAATCAAACAGCTGCATCAGAACCAGAACCAAACGAGGAGAAGCAGCATTCAGTTTCTATAAACCA